GAGAGAGAGAGAGAGAGAGAGAGAGAGAGAGAGAAAGCAGAGGAGGAAAGGGGGGAGGGAGAGGGAGAATCGAAGGGAGAAAGACGGGCTAGTAGTAATAGTAGTAGTAGTGGAGAGTTGGCTGGGATACGCGGATTGGGATGGATGGGTTGATTGATTGGGCACGCTTGTATTGTTTCAGGAGGAAGCTGAATCGACGTAACGGTCTACGCCAGGATGGCCAGTTGGCCGCTGAGAATCGTACTTCTGTCCAGCACCCTCATCCTTGTCCGCGGTAAGTAAGAACACAAATCCTGCCGGTTCGTTGGAAAATCATGGCCGCCCGACCGTTTCGTTTCGTCGTGTTTCGACCGTCGGCCATTTCATCGGTTGGGCAATCACCGTGGGGGATATGCCTGTTTCACGGAGGAGGGCGAGGGAAAGGGAAGTGCGTTTAGCCGAGTAAATATTTGCGTCGCTGAGCAACGCGAAGCGAGAAAATGAGGGACCGCCACCCACCGACGAAAAGTATTTGACCAATAAAGTGACTTCCTCCAGGGAGAAATGATTTCCTCGGTTTGCTCTTTTTTTAAGGGACGAATTTGATTTCCGCCTCGGAGTATAAATGCCATAAAATCCCTTCTCTTTTTCCTCCGGTAATACGTATATACGTGCGTATATACGTGTGTAATATACGTGTGGAGGCGTTACGGAGTAAATGTTTCTCCCTCGTTTCGTTATTCTCTTTTATTTTTCTTTTTTTTCTTTTCTCTCTCTTTTTTTTTTCTTGAGAAAGGTGGTAAAAAGTGTACGCGATATTGAAAACTTTTAATATCGCATAGTTACTACCGTCCCGGCGAGTCGGTTTACAGGGACGGTATTTGCCTCGTTTTCAAACTCTCTCTCTCTCTGTCTCTCTCTTTCTCTTTTCTCGACGAGCAGGGACGAGCCCAAGTGTCCGGTGATTGATTTTCTGCCACTCGACGATCCGTTCATCCGTTGCTCAATCACGTGACGAAAACACTACGGGTGTCCATTTAAATTATGAACGTCGGTTTTATTTGTTTCGAAATCCATTATCTTACTCAACTTCTCGTGTAATTTGTAAGCCAATACAGGAGAAGAGTAACTTCGTACTCGGATATCCGTTTTCCTTCCAACTTCCATCATTAATAACTTTCTCTTCCCTCGAAATGACGGAGGCGGTCGTTCGAGTCCTACGGTAATCGATTAATAACTCTTTGGGGAGGGAGGGAAAAAAAGAAAAAGAATTTCGAGGTAGCAATAATAATCAGATTTAAACGGATGCGTCTCTAGCAAATAAAAGTTACGACAAGTTGGAATCGTTACGTTATTTAAACGCTGTCGTATCGACAATGGAGGTGGAAACTTTTGTGCTCGAATTCTCAAAAGTAATTTCGTTTCGCGGCGATCGAACCACGCTGTGATGTCTTTTCCATTCGCTGCACCGCCGGCCAACTTTTTATTTATCGCAATTCTATAAACGTCCCCGGGGATATTAAATCGCCGATAAATTCATTGTATTTCGTCCGATCTCAATCTCTCGAACTCCGCTAGAACAACGCAACAAGATATTCAATTCGTTCTGCGAACGATATTTGTTGCCGATTGAATCTTCACTTTCCACCTTTTCATATCTTTTTCTTACCGTTTTACACCCCGTTTTCGTTTTAATCCCTTTCCCCTCGACCCCTCTTTCGCCTTTCTTCTCTTTCTTCTTTTTCTTCATTTTTTCTTCTTCTTCTTTTTTTTTTTTTCTTTACTCTTCGGTTATTATCGTCGAGTTTTCTCAAGAAGTATTAAAGTAATGCCACGCTCTTTCGCGTAATTAAATGCCGTACTCGGTGAACTGAAACAATATAAACTTTCGAGCGTCAAGTTTACGAGCGTTGAAAAAACTTGCTCCGATATTGAATATCATTGCGAATGTGTTTCAACGTTGCCTTCTCTCCACCCTCCTCCCCTCGACGCTCGTAAAAACTTTTTAATCGACAGTACTCGCGAATACACCGTCCTCGTCTTTTCTTCTCGTCTCTTTTTTCCCGCCTGTCTTCGCCAAGGAAGAAGGGGGAAGTGGAGTTGCCGCGCTTATCGCTTCCCCTCTATTGGACCTCTATCGAGGCAGAAACGCTCCTCTCTCTCTCTCTCTCTCTCTCTCTCTCTTTTTTTTTCTCGTATCCTCGAGAAATCGGTGTCGGAGCGAACATCGAATTCGTGTTATCCGAGCCGCGAAGTTCGTTTTTCAGCAGCGGGGGGAGGGGGAGGATCGGTCGTCCCCGCTAACTTTCCCTCGCTCTCATCCTTTCTCACCCTCGAAGAAGAGAGAGAGGGAGAGGGGAGAAGGACGAAGACACGAGATATACAAGTGGCGCGCGCGGCGCCCTCTCCGCTCCAACCATAGTTCGTTCGGAATGCAGAGTACGTGCACGGGCTGCGGTTGCCGGTCGGTTTCCGGTCGTAAGCTATCCGCGAAGGGGAAAATAGCGGGGAAAAGAGCGTGGAGCGATTTGGAAGGTAGTTGCGGCTTCGTCGAAGGGGGGAATGGAGAGGAGGGGAGGGAAGAGGATCGAGCGAGAGGGAGAAAGGAGACGAGAGGGCAGAGGGAGAAAGAGAAGAAGAGCAAAAAGAAGAAGGAAAGCGGGGTGGATGGCGGGGTGTTGGCGGTGGCTTAAACGAGGGAGGAGGGGCGGATGCTTTCTTAAAGATGTGGAGCCGGGGCGCACTTGTTGCGCGGAAAAGGAGTACGCGGGCGATGCCAAGGAAAGAAGGAAGGAAAGAAGGAAGGAAGGAAGGAAGGAAGGAAGGAAGGAACAGGCGTGTGCAGCCTCGAAAGCGTGCAAAAAGGGGATGGGGAGGGTGGTTGGACGGGTTGGAGGGGAAAGCGAAGAAAAACGACGGCGAGCAGGATGGGGTGGGGGAGATTTGACGGCGACGAAGTGAGAGTTTGAGGGGTGTAGGCGAGGAAACGATAGGGGTTTGGGGAGAAGGGGGGCAAAGATACGGCTGGGGAATCGAATTGATTCTCTTTTACGAGCTCGCGTTACTTTTCTTCACCCCCTTTTGCCATCCTTGCCTCTTGACCGTGATGCTGCTTCTCTTCCAATCTTTCTCTCTCTCTCTCTCTCTCTCTCTCTTTCTCTCTCGTTCTCTCTCGCTCTTTCAATTTCCTCGAAGGCTTTCCTTCTCGCCGGTGTTATTTATTTATCAGCTCTCGCACGTAGCTTTCCTCAAGCTCGTGTAAAGGATCGGACGAGGCACCACTTCGACCGGACCACCTTCTTTATCCGGACCATCTCTCTTTCCTTCTTTTCGTTCCGACCACGGTCTTGGCCTTTTTTCACGTCTCTCGTCGGATCCCCGTTGTACCGCACGCTTCCCGCTCTCTCATTTCATTTGCCGGTCGTTGGACGGTGAAAAGGTAGTTCTTTCGCATCGAGGGGAGGGCAAGAATCGGCACTCGCCAATTGTGACGGGAGGATGAGAAGACTTATTGGGATTCCTTGCGGACAACGGACGACCTTCCAAGTCCGTTCCACGATCGATCGTTGGGCGCGCGACCAATCGCGACGATCCATTGGTCACGGTGAATATCGTATATCGGAGGAAAGTAATAGCCTCGAGGATGATCGATAAGGAATGGACGACTCTTCCTTTGCTTTCGTTGCACCGTATATATTTTATATATACGGGGGAAACTGGCGCGTGAACGCTTTGGAGAGAGAAAAAAAAAAAAAGAAAAAAAGAAATTCACCGAGTAATAATTTATTAATTCAAGATGGATTAAAGCGATGGAGAACGGCGATGAGAGAGATAGAGAGAGAGAGAAGAATAGTGCTTTTAAGTTTATTAACCGTGAAGCAAAAGACGAAGCGTGAACAGCTATAGCTACAGAGATAGGTCCATAGGTGGTGTACAGAAGTCTATTGAACTTCCGGCTTGAGAGAATTCACCACGTTACTTATTTATCAGCATCTACACGTAGCGTTGTACGCGGTATCACCTCCTGGGAAAAAGGCACTTTCCGCGCGAGTAGATAGAATCAACCGGCCCGGATTGGATTGGAGCCTCAAGGAAAAACTTATTTGGATTCCTTACGGATATAAGGGGTTTCCGGGGCAGCTTTTACTCGGGAAGCTTGGACGCGAATTGATCGATACATCGAAAGGAGAGGAGTGGCGTTACATCGACCGTAGAGAAATCGAAATTACGCGTATAATTTCTTGCTAGTTTTTTCGAAAGGCTCGCCCTTTAATCGGGAAGATTAAAAGGGTAAAGGGCGCGCGCGCTTTCACTTATTCAACTTTTCCCGAGAAACTTGATTCTCCGAGGTATGGTCGGTGCGCGTCGTTGAATAACGAGCGTTAAGTAACAACATAGAATGCCAGTAGTTGCGAGCTATCTGTGTTTTTCCCTCCTCTCCTTTTTCTCTCCTCGTTACGAGAGAAAAACGAAGGTGAAACATTTTCCCTCTTCGTGTCTCGAGCGTGTTTCGCAAAGAAAATTCTTTCAGCAAGCCAACCCATGCTTTACGCTCTTGAACTTTCTCTCTCTCTTTCTCTCTTTTACTCTCTCTACGATATCGATATTTCTCTTCGAAACGTACGCCACGCGAGTATTGACGGGATATTGACTTTTACTTTTCCCGACTCGTTGGAAATCCGTCTTCCCCTTAACCTATTCTCTCGATTCGTTGCATCCTTAGCCAATAATCTTGTATCTTCGAATAACTATATCTTCGATCGTAAATAATGCGAGAATTCGGGGAGACTGGGCCACGAGAGAGAGAGAGAGAGAGAGAGAGAGAGAGAGAGAGAGAGAGAGAGAAATTCGATGTAGCGACACCTGTATCGATTCCAAAATTATCGCACAAACGTCGTCGTAGCAGGCGACGTTATTAGATTGGCTCGACAGATAGGAGAATAAGACAGGCGAACTCAAGATATTGTATTCGTAAGTTTGTAATTGGGACCTGTGGATGTTCTCCTTCCATCCACTCGTCTAACTTACCCATCCGTGCAAAGTCTGTATACACACACACACATATATATACATATACTCTGGAAACTCTCCAACGTCATTTAGGATGTCTACATTCGTCGTGGAGTTCGATTGGATCCGGTTTTCCGGAAATTTAACCGAGCGTATGATTTCGAGAGGTTTTACGGTACTATTTCCGGGTCCCGGGCCATTTTCGAGGAACGCCCGTCGGTCACCGATAATCCGCGATAATGTTGGCGTCGATAGAGGGAGCACGAGTCTCTCTCTCTCTGTCGA